AAGATCAATATGAAGGTATGGGGAAGCTGGATCAAGATGGATCCTGACTTGACGCCCCCTGAGTGACCAAGATCGTCAGGATCTGGAGTGCGTGTACTTGATATAAGGGATCAAGTGGTTGTGATGGTAGAGCCAGTTGATGTATAGGACCTAACTATAAATCAGAGTCGAGTTTGCATTGTTTACACAACTGCCTTCCTGCCCTCCAGATCCGTAAACGACATTGGCCGTATCGAGCTCAGTGAAGGCTGGGAATTGCAGATCTAGCATTGGTTGTGATACCTGGATAGTATTTTGGCCAGATCACACCACCTAACGAACTTTCCCCTACACGTGCAGTTCAAGAAGGTTAACCGGATTTACTGCTTGGCCAGGAAAACCTATCGACCTTCAACTATCAAGATATCGCTATAGGAAGGGGAAGGACGACTTAAAGGAAACTTAAGGAACACACCCACAAGGCTACCCACGGTCAAGATCCCAGAGCACCAGGTCCTACAAGCTCGAAGTACTCGCTTGTGATCTGGTCCCTACGTCACACGTAGAGTAAAGATATTCCACTACTACTGCACCCAACCCCCACGTCTCGCCAAGACATCCAAGCTTCACTCATTTGAACTTCTCTGCGATTACCAGAGGAGCAAGATCCTGCCCTACCGACGGATGCACAAAGTGAGCAAGTTTAGCCGATCACAGATGATCGGGGGAGCCCCTCCGTTAGTCGGTGTATGGGTACTGGTTGGAAGTCGGATCCAGCAATCTCGCAGACTTTGCTGATCCCGCTAGCACGACAAAAGCACTTGCTTGCTTTCCGCACTTTGAATCAACGCAGCGACCAACACTTTAGGAAGTCCTAGCTTCCCTATCACATTGCTCTTTTTTTTAACTGGAACGCGTTGTAGTTAGCGTGTAATACTTTGTTTATGTTTTTGATATTACCTTCAATATTTTTTCTTCGGGATGGTGTCATTGTTCTCCTGGATATATTTTTCCATTTCTCGAAACCATCCAGAAGCGTAGTGAGTGTATCTATCTATCTGATCGCTTCATCAAACCAGTCAAAGCTTTCCCATAATTAGGTTTTATCTGATCATTTCAATATTTAGTGGCTTATTCACCATGGGTTCACCGAAAGAGTACGTTGAGTGAATTTTGACCCTTTTTCACTATCAAGGATAGATTTCAA